TATTAATATCTTGGCTTTATTCGCTAAGTGGATTTGATTTGATTAGCGACATTTATTCCCGTGCATCATATTATTATGTCGTTCGAAGTGATTTCATTTTCAAAGTGCGATCTCGGCACGAATTCAAACTGGCTCACAGTAAATCACGAGCACTGCTTGAACTCGCATCGGACGAGTGTAAATTCAGAGCATATCTTTGGGGAAAATTTCGTGACTCGGCACAGACATGTCACATTCGGCAGAGATTAGCGAAGACGCTCTTTTGACCTGGCAAAAATTCCCCACACAAATCCGTAACGACTGGATTTTTACGGCATTTCGAGAGGAATTTGATCGGATTCAAGGTGAGACATGGTTGTTTAGGTCAAACAGTTTTTAATCTCAGAGTTTTCGAAGGTATTGTATGATAGATTTAGCAATGGACAATTGAATTAGGGTTTTTGCGAAGTAGGGTCGAGGCATTTGGTAACAAAATTTCCTAATAATTTCAATCTATTCTATAGAAACCGATACATTCTCGGCCAAAGGTGAACTGTTGCACCAGAAAGATGGCAAAAAGGTAGAGTCAAAGACGATGAACAAATTTGACCTGATGAAATACATTGTGTTCTCGGCGATTTGGGTATTTATCGCATGGAATTTACTGACTGTCAAAGAGAAGAATCTAACAGAATACGAAATTGTGTTGGAGCCACACAAAACTAAAGGTGAAACATGTCATTCAATTGCTTATTTGCTGATATTCAATCGTAGCCACTGACTGATTCATTTTGCATTGATTTCAGCCTTAAATTATCGTTATGACGAGTTTGGCTCGAAAATCAGTGTGAATTTAGTAGGGCATTTTAGGCCGTCCGTTGGAACGAACACATCACGTGACATCATCTCGATAGATGTACACATCGGAGATGGCATACTTGCAACTAAGTATTTTGATATCGAGAGATCCGGTGGCGACCAGAGCAAACCAGATATAGTCTCTTTTGACTTAGATATCAGCGCAGCAGCGCCAACACAACTAAACTTATCATTGGAACTCACGACAAATGCAGCAGATGCACTCTCATTACAACTGTCTGTCGACACACACACGCTAAATATACAAATGGGAGCTATTTGCGGTGGGATTATACTGATATCCCTGAATGTTTTGATCATTTCTGAGGTAAAGAGTAGTTTCAGTAGAGGCTTATCATACAAAAGACAATAATTTTCATAACGAATCCCATATTTTTGTGCATCAATAGATCGTTCATCGAACATTGGCCGCTTTGTTGGCCGCATTCGCATCGATTGGAACGCTATCAGCCTTTCAGGATCGACCAACTATGGACAACATTATCAAGTGGATTGACTACGAGACATTATTGCTGATATTTTCAATGATGGTTCTGGTGGCCGTTCTGATTGACACCGGCATTTTTGACTACATCGCATTTTTGACTACGTCTATACATTTCAAGTGAATTTCATCTTTTCACGACATTTCCCCTCGCCTAACCTGCCTAATCTAATAACACACATTCAATTTTCCAACTCTTTTCAGCTAAGCCGAGGCCACGTCTGGCGCCTTATCAGTATTTTATGCATCATTAGTGCAATCATTTCAATGTTTCTCGACAACGTAACAACAATTCTCTTAATGACACCAATTACAATCAAACTGTTCGAATGTCTTCGATTGAATCCAGTGCCCGTTTTACCGTTCATCATTTTGAACATAAACATCGCCGGTCTAACGACTTTAATTGGTCATCCACCTAACTTGTTGATAACTGAAAATAGTTATATTTCGAAGCAGAACATCACGTTTCTCACATTCACTATGCACACGTGTTTTGGCGTTCTCGTGGCTCTCATTCAAACAAATTGTCATCTGCGCATTCAGCATCACAACATACACGAGTTGTTGGCGCCACGTAACGATTCCGATGAAGAGCTGACGGCATGGCAACAGTGCTTAGATTCAATTAAAAATAATCACAACGACAAATTGGATATGCTGAAAATGGTTTTAATGAGGAAAATTGAAATACTTCACGCTGAACAGGCAACATTTGCTGCATTCGCTGCGTCGGGAGAGGATGGAAAATCATTCCAAAACACATTGAGGCAATTGAAAAAGTTGGTACGTATTGAGCGTAGTGAGAGAGTAGACAAGGGAGAGGAAAAGATCGGTTTTTAGCTGATTTTGTTTCAAAATCGTTTATTTCTTCTCAGAAAAAACAAAAATCACACAAAAACTAAACTGATTTCGCTTATTTTCAGTATCCGATCAAAGACAAAACGCTACTTAAGAAAGCGGGTGCAGTTTTGGCATTAATTATCGCTCTGTTTTTCATCGAGTCGGTGCCGAGCATCCAGCGACTGTCATTGGGCTGGTGTGCATTTACCGGAATGATACTGCTGCTTCTCATTTCCGAGTATGACTAATTATGTGCTAATTGAATTTCGTGCATTATTTTTTGTACTAAAACCATAAGTTGTGATTTAGATGCGATTCTGCAACGAGTTGAATGGATTACACTGATGTTCTTTGGAGCCATGTTCATTACGATGGAGTGTCTCGCGAGACTAGGCCTTATAAAATGGATAAGCAAACAGACGGAAGAGCTCATTCTTCTGGTCGATGAGGATTATCGGCTCGCTTTGGCCATTTTCATTGTTTTATGGGTCAGTTTTCATTGGAATTTTGAAGAAAAAGAACGAATTTTGTTTGGAACAAATCGAAAAGAAACGAATTTTGTTTTGAAATTTCAGGATTTTAATTAGGAACCATTTTTGAGGTCCACTTTATATAAATTTCCAAATTTTTCATCATTTTATACATTTCCAATTGATTTTCCCATTCAACAGGTTTCTGCTTTAACCTCATCGGTCGTTGATTCCATACCCGTTACTGCGATGATGGTAAAAATTGTTGTTTCACTGGCTGAAAATCAAGCACTTAATCTGCCCGTCCAACCGATGGCCTACGGTACACATTTTTCTCTTCTCCTACTCTAACCTATGCTGAATACAATAATTTTCAAACTATTTTTTTTATCTAATAAAGCATTGGCATTTGGTTCGACATTCGGTGGAAATGGCAGTTTGTATGGCGCATCATCAAATATCGTGTGTGCCGGTGTTGCTGAAAAACTCGGACACAAAATCACGTTTTCCCAATATTTCAAGTAATTCAACGTTTTTGCACACACGCACAATCCATTAGTAAATTCCAAATGATAAAACGATCTCGTTTTCTCTCTTTCTACAGAGTTGGATTTCCTGTTATGTTCGGAAACGTTTTGCTTGTTACGGTTTACTTGCTAACTGCCCACGTGCTGCTCGAATGGAATTGAATAAAAATATATAAAAATTGGTTCATTTTGCAAAGAAAATCTGGTTTGAATTTAGAAATCGATTTTTGTGTAAATTTATAGTGAAATCAAATGTTCAGTAGATGAAATAAGGAGAAATGGGAATTTTTGATTAATATTCGAAATAAAAATTGAAATATGTGTGAAAATACATAAAGAATATATGTTTCGGACAATAATACGAAGAAAAATTGTGT